AATTATAAGAAAACCCTGAAGGAGAGGACTGGCAGCACAAAGGCCTCTGCAGACACCACCAGAGTTGTAATTCGTCGACTCCTGCTGTCTGCTGACTTTCTATAAGCCAGAAACTGAGTTGTGCACGGGTAGGAGAATGTTTTAACTTTGTTATCTGGCTCATTGTGATGCACCTTCACCTCTGAAATCAGGGGGTGGTGTGTTGTGTACATTGCAGTGAGGACTGGGCACTTGCCCAGCGATGGCGTTGTACTGCTGAATGATTAGAAAGGGATTCCTCCTTGGAAAATATGCTGATGAATGCATGGTACACTTCAGAGAACAATAGTCTGGTGTTCACTCCTTCTCTCAAAATGGATTCTTGCTTAAAATGCTGATTGAGTTGGATGACATAGAGATTTAAAATAAATGCTGCTGCAAAAATTAAAATCTTAAGTGTGAAGATATGAAAATTAATCAATATAAATCTACACATATATACACAAATATCTGTATGCACCTATAAATAGAAATTCACATATATATACATATACAGACATTGATGGAAAGGGAATAGAGAAATACTAGTATAACCATCTGAAAGAAAAGGGCACAGAGTGGTCATAGTATGTCTCTTCCCTATTTTATTTTCACTCCTTAGCAAACCCCTGACAAGATAAAATAAATAGCTAATCAAATGAGATCGAAACAGATAATGCCACCCCAGCTGGAGTTCTGCAACAGGACTGTGTCAGTCAGCTTTATTCCCTCTGGAAAAGGAAGGTCCATATCCTGTAGACTGTATGATGGCACTTAGTTTGCCATGCTAACAGCTCCTCCAACAGTGGGACAATTGCTTTTCTATGATCAAAAGAAAAGCTGAATGTACTGCATAAAATGCAGTAAAGAAAATGCAGTAAATACATACATCAGAGATTTAAGAATAAAGCATAAATTGCTTCCTAGAACACATCTGAGCCAGTCACTTCACTCACAAAGGACCAGGCTTTGCATGTTTCCTCTTCTCTAATCCTCAACAACTCTGCTAATGAGAACCTCCTGCTCATTCACAGTGGTAGTGCTGCTACCAGTGCATGAACTCAGTCTTCCTCTCCAGTTGTGACACAAACCCTGTATAGGATCAATTATGGAAAGACCTTTTCTATACACAGCACAAAGAGGACCATCACCCAGGTTCATACAGTTCATCTGCAATACAGAAAACTGTAACTGCATAACCAACCAGCACGTCCCCTGTGATACGACTCACTGAACACACCAAAACTTTGTTATCAGCTTTGTTACCTACTTGCTCCTTCCTTTAATTTCTTAGTACATGCCCCATCCCTGGAGATGTTCAAGGTCAGGTTGGATGGGGCTCTGAGCAACCTGATCTAGTGAAAGATGTCCCTGCCCACGACAGGATGTTGGAACTAGATGATCTTTAAGGTTCCTTCCAACCCAAACCATCTGTGATGATTCTATGACCTCCATTTCCCCCAAAATCCTGACTGTCTGAACTTTGTTAGTCAAAATGACTGGTGCACACACAAATTTTGGTAGCTCACTCCCCATACCAGGCCACTTTAACTCGATCTTCAAAATAAGAAGATGATCCCCCTTCCTGCCTGCTTGGTCTGTTAATACTGTATAATGGAGGAGAGGGAGGCAGATTGTCTATAGCTATTTCTTAATTATCTGTTACTGTGAACTCCCAATCTTGCTTGAAGGGCCATCAATGTGATCATATGACAAGTATGAAATAATTCAACTGTCAGTAGTATTGCTCATTTAGCCAACATAATGTATATCTAAGGTTGTATATCAGCATACAGAGAGCCAAAAAGACCACTCAAAATGCTGGATAAAGAGCTGGAATCTTAGCTCTCATAGCTATCTCCATCTCTCCCATCATCTTGGCAAAAAGAACCTGACCAAAACAAGCAGAAAAAGCTTGCTTGGCTAACACACATATGCTAACAGATTTTTATTCTTATTTTTTAAAAACTCATTTTCAGTGTTAAATAAACTGTGGAAAAAGGATTTGATTCATAGTTGCATTAGGAATCTACTCAACCAAAGCCCCTTGTCACAAATTAAATCATAAACTAAAAGTCAAACATGATTTGTGAAATTAACATTTATCGAGGAAATACTCCCCAGCGCTGCATTGTGATTAGTCTCTGGCTTCTGAAATATCACCCATAATTCATGAGTTCCTCTGAAACCATGCCACTGCTGTTACTGCTGAGATGGCATGCATGATGGAAGGTGCTGCCACAACCAGAGAGCAATCCCTTTTTTTGATGCTGGTGAGATCTAGAGGTCACTGTGCCTTATTATTTGGGAAAGTACATGCATACACACTGCTCAGCCCCCACACACTTGTAACACGTCACCCCTCCACAGGCACTCTCTTCCACCTCTTAGATTTATCCATAGCCACAGCTGTTTCTAATTTTGAACACAGAGGCTTGGCAGAAGCTCTGCATTGTGCCCTTTCTTCAAAATAGTGACTAATAAAAAAATGAAACATAATTAACAGTCCACGGTTCTTTCAGAGTCGGTGTCTTTCAGCAGAGGGATTTGGTGCCTTTGCAGGGGGATGCAGACAGCTTAATCTTACAGGCAGAGAAGCTACAGCACAAAGCAGACTTAGTGATTGTTAAAGGCTAAATGATCACTGGCAAAGCAAGCTTTGGAGCCCAACATTTTTTACAAGCCAGGATGACCAGATATGGCTTAAAGATAAGAGATGCTTCCATTTTCAAGGTGCGAAGATATTTTCCTGACAAGAAACACGATTTTTTTTTTTTTTAAATAATGGTGTAATACCATCCCTGCTGCTCTGACCACTAGATATTTTTCACATGGAGCAAAAGAGCCCCCAGTTTTTTTGGGGTAAAGAAGGAGAGCTCAGCTCAGCTGATGGCTTCACAGCCATTCAGAGCAAGAAGGAAGCTTCAGCAGTTCTATAAGCCATCCCCTCATGGCTTTCTTCTTCATGTATTCATACATTGTCACCACTGCTCAAGTATACTGCACCTACCTGGAACACATCAGCTGTATGCTGTGTTTATGCAAGTGTGTATGCTTGTGTGTGTATACCTAAGATTAGATAACATACGAACAAATAAGGATCACAAAGAAGAATATTCCCACTCTCTCTTAATCAAAAGGAAGCCTGAGGCTTCATCTACCCTGTTTCCCCCTTAAACAGGAATACAAAGGAATGCACTCTTAAAAAGGTGCCTCTCTTTTCAGGATTGAAGGAGGACTTAGTCCCTGTAAAGCCTGAATTCCCTTTGCTATCCTGCACACAGGGCAGGCTGTGTTAGATCTGGGCCTCTGTCCTCAGCTGGGGCAAACTGAGGCTTCATGGAGCCATGACCATTTATGTCACCGAGGAAGAGCATTCAGCGTGCAGCTCTGAGAACATCTGAGCCAGCCCCCACCTAGTGCCTGCACGAGCTCTTTCTGGCAACTGCATTTCACCGTGGATGGCAGACTCTGCCCCACAGGAGGATGGGGAATCCAAAAGAAATTACTGCCTGCTCTACTAAACTGACCCTTAGGCAGAGAGGTCTCACTTCTCAGAACAGGAATTCATTGCTCCAGTAACAAGACCGCCTGAACAGTCCATGAGGGACTGTTACCTCCATTCAACACACTTTCTTTGGATAAACAGTCATTCCCTTCTTGTGCTGTGACATTAAAAAGAGGTCAGCAATGGATGGTGGCTTTTAGAAACAGTTTAATCTTTTTTTTTACCACTCTCTTCTACTTGTAATAACCTGTTAAAAAGCTGAAAATAACACTGAGTTCCCTACTGGGTCACCCTTTACCATTTGGAGACCATTGATTTTTTTTCCCTATTGTGCCAAGATTAATGTGGCCTCCGTGTTTGACAACAGATCCAACAAGTCTAGTGTTCTAAATCAAGCTAAAATAATTGTCTGTGGACAACATCCCTGTCTGGCAGTGGTAATGATCTAGGGAAAAAAAAAGCTTTGCTACGTAACTGTTACTGCAGAACCATCAGGAGACTTCAGTGGCCCTTAAAACAAAAAACTGTTATTGATGGGGCAAATTTAAAGTTACTTTTAGTGAGAGTCAAGTGTTTCAATGAAAACTATTAGCCAAAGGAGATTATCCAAATTATCTAATATAAGTGTGTTACAGTTTTGATTCAAGATAGTTTCAGATCTTACAAGTATAAACCTTCCTCCTCTCTTGCTGTGTGAGAGAAAGCAGTGGTTTGTCCTCTCTCCTCCATTTTAAGTAGGAAAAGAAACAGCAGATAAGTAATGGT